AGAGTATCTGAGACTGTATGCAGGATGTGGGGTTAGTGTGTGTGTCCATCTAACCGTCTGTAATGTTAGAGTGCTCTAGAATTAAACTGTGGTGATTCAGAATGCTGACGGTGTGAATCACCTCTTTTGGCACATTTCTGGCTTTCACTGAACTCAAGTTAAGTGATGCTTCAAGACACTGTTACAGAAGCTTAGGATGTGCTAGAAATGCACAAACATACACGCACACAAACACAAATGTGAGAAGAAAACACCTGCACACACAGTCCAGTGGTCATGTCCATATCTATGTGGGAGCTTTAGTTTGCTGGGTGTGTATGAATTTTTAATGCATCACAAAGTGAAGAGTCCAACTGTATTTTTAGACTTTGTCAGAATGTGGCATTTTATTATTGATAACCTGAGAATGCAGTTTAGTGAAATATTCATGGCCATCATCTTCAAGACCCTTAGGGAGCAAATCTACGGAGAGAAGAAGCAGCAGGGAAAGCCTAACACCCAAACAAACGATACAAAAGAGTGACAGCCGATGGAGCTGAGAGGTGGAAAAAGTATGAGAGGTTGAGCAAAATGTCTGTGTGTGCTTGAGAAAATAATAAGAACTGGTAGCTGTTATGTCAGTGGACACCTCTCACTTTATAACAGAGAACACAAAGACAACAAACTCATAAATGTGCCTGGTTATGGCATTTTAATTGTGTATCCGTAACATGATAATGTCTGAGATTCTTTGTTGTGCGGATTTTGACGACACTCCCAGTGAGAAACGATCATAATGATAAGCACACTTTCAGTGTAGAAAGCAACTTATTATACAGTATTTCTTTAACTTTATATTTGTTCCAAATAAACTTTTGTTGTGCACTCATAAAACACCTCTACTGCATTCCCATTAGCATTTCAGGTTTGAAAAAAGAACAAAACTTCTGCATTGACTGCCCAAACTTCATTTTCTACCTCCTCTTCTTTTGCTCTTCTCATTCTGCCCGTCTTTTGCTCCTTCATCCATCCCTTGAACGCTCTCTCTTTGCCTCTCTCCTCTGCTCCCCGACACCTGTCGTCTCCCAGTCCTCTCCACTTTACTGTGACTGACAGTCCAATTCTAGCTCCAACACACAGAATGGAAAACGTTCACACCAGCTGCACACAAACACACACGAGGTGCACATAAATACACACTGACATTGCTTACACCCACATGCAGAAAATAAAAACACCTGGTGTGCATTTTTACAACAACCGCCCACACACATGCAGATCTCTCTAGTCACCTGCAGCTCCTGTTACAGATGTGTGCGCATAAGCTACAGCTGTCAGAGCGATAATGTCATACTTAACATGAAGCCAGCGTTTGTCATATAAATCACTGGGTCCTGTCACTTCCAATACAGCGCAACTCTCTTACAGGCCAGGATTACTGCGGTCGTAAATGCCAGATTATATTTGTAGAATGAGAAACCTGCCGTGTATATACCTTTTTTCTTCTCCCTTCTTCCTGTAGACATAGTCTCAGTATTAAACATAAGATAAATAACTGTTTGACAGTGTGGCTGCTCAGGTGGAAGAGCAAGGGTAAAAGCAATGAAAGAGCAGCACATGACAATGTCAAAATCAGTTTTTATTTGTGTAGCTCAATATCACAAACTACAAAATTGTCTCAAGAGGCTTTACAGCCTGTGCAGCATATGACACCCTTTGTTCATAGATCCTCAGATGGAAAGTGGATGAACTTCCCCCAAAAATCTTTTAATGGGGAAAAAATGAACCCTCAACAAAAGCTACAGAGGAGGGATCCCTCTTCCAGCATGGACAGATATGCAGGAGATGTGTGTAATGACTGGCACATGGATTATTTTGTCACTAATGTTGTTTTCCCGTAGCCCTGCACTTACATGTGGTACGCATTTAGTTAC